CCCGTCATCCCCCAGTGCCTCCCAGGGCTCCTTTTATGCCCAGCCCTGGCCGCAGGTGCTGGAGGTCAGAAGGCACAGGAGGGTCAATCAGTGCCCCACCCCCGGGGATCATTAGCATCTAATTACCCACACCTGGGGAACTGCGCAGGAACTCAAGGTCTTTGCAAACAGCAAGAGTTGAGTGACCCAGTTTGTCCCACGCTTCTTGGCTCATCAGGGTCCCTCTGTCCCCAGGGTGCAGGCGACCCTCACTGCGCCCAGGGCAGCAGCAGCAGGGTGTCTGCAGCTCACAAGGGGGATGGAGGGGAGGGTCCGAGCCCTTTTCTTGATGCTAAACACGGTGGTCCCCAAAGCTCTTCCCAGGGCCAGCCGCTGCTGGAGCACGGTGGGATGGGGCAGTGCTGGGGCTCGGGTGCCCGGACCCACCAAGTCGGTGCTTGGCCCTCGGGAAGAGCCGCCGGAGCCCTCCCCGTGGGTTCACACAGACCTGGACCCTCCGGGGAGCCGAAGTCTTGGCTCTGGGAGGAGAAACTGGAGAAGGCTCGGCTGCCGGTGGCTGATTTACTGCTGGGCTGAATGGCTTATCAGGAGTTCAGCTCAGCACATGTGTCAGAATTCTAACACACAGCAAAACCTGGAGCAGAAGCGTGCTCCGAGCCCCCCGCCTCCCTGCCCCCTTCCCAGCTGTTGTAAAGCTGCTCCCTGAATCCCAGCCAGAGACAAAACCTTCCAGCGTAGCGCAGGAACGTTTCAGCTGCTGGTGGGACTGGATTCAAATATCTCCCTCCTGGGTTTCCTTTTTTTTTCCCCCCTTCCTCCTATGCACTGGAGTGGCTTGCGCTGCCTCGGAGCAGCACTGCCTGCTAACCGTGGCGGAGAGAGGAGTGAGCGTGCTGGGCTCTCTGCAAGGTGCAGTTGGGGTGCGAGCTTTGCCAGGTTAGACCAGGCATGGGTTAGAGGAGGCACTGGGGCAGGGCAGAGCACAGGAGTCCCCTGGACATTACTCTCCTAAAACCCCTGGGAAAGAGAGGACGGGCAGGGGGGGCAGCTCCAGCCTGAGCCACCAGCTGCGGGGCCACACGGAGGTGGCTGGGGAAGCCGGTGCCTCCTGGATCCCACTGAGCTCCCATCTCTGCTTAACCTCTAATTTGGCAAGGAAAATCCCTGCTGGCCTTCTGCCCTGCTCGGGGAGCTCAGCTGACTCGCCGCGATGGCGCGGGGCCGTGCCGTGCCCCTGCAGGTTACCCCGAGCCAGCGGGGAGCTGTGCGGGGCCCCCCCCGCTGC